AACCCTGATGGTAGCAGAAGAGGACCAACTTTTGTAAGTTATCCTTTGATCTCCACACACTCTGTGGCACACCGCCCCCATAAATAAATCAGATTAATGTTACGTGGTATATGTCACTGATAAGCCAATGAAGAATTCCACTGTGTAACCATGATCACGTGATAAATCCTGGTTATTCATAACAACACGAAACAATGTAGATTACACATAGCTTTGTAGTGGGATGCTTTATCTGCTAATTCTGATATTTCATGCTCTGCCATGCTTCATACTTTTCTTAACTTCAACAAGAGTATTAATAATGCAACATATTCTACCCCCCCCCCCCCCCCCCCCCCCCCCCGGCCCCAAGAGACAGGGTTTCTCTGTGAGTGCGAGGCCAGCCTGGTCTCCCGAGCAAGTTCAAGGACAGCCAGACAAACCCTCTCCTGGAAAAACAGACTAACAAACAAAAAACAAAAACATAACAAAACAATAACAACAAAAAGATATTCTTTTAATTTTTGTCTTAAAAAGAATCTGCAGATCTCTGCTTTGAATAGGCTGTGACGACAGTCTGGCTGAGTGAGGTCAGGGAAAGGATGCTTTCCTCATGCGGGTTTCAGTGTTAAGACTTCCAGGAGGTCTGCGGAGCTTCCTCAGCAGGGCAGAGTTCTTACTGTGCAAACACAAGGTACTGAATTCAGCTCCTTGGCACCTATATGAGAAAACCAACTGTGGCTGCACATGCCTGTGACCCCAGACCTGGGTGGGAGGGAGTGTCAGAGGCAGGAGGATTGCTGAGGATGACTGGCTCTCTCTGCATTTAATGAAGTTAGGTTGGGATTTTGGTCAGAAGGAATTATCCCATCAGAAGTGGTAGATCCTACAGACCAAGGCTATTGTTCCCGGAGCTGATCGTTGCACTACACCTTGGCTTACTGTGCTATGTTCAAACTTCTGGAATCTTAATGGCTCCAGTAGTTCAAATTTTTCATCATTCAAGGCCCATTTAAGATCAGAATTAGAACAGAGACGGTTCTGTGCTGCATCCCAGTGTTTGTTCAATAGCGTATGTGGCAGAGATCCCAAAGATGAAATTGGTTAGGAATATTATGCTGGCTTAGTTCGTGTAAGTTCAGTCTATGCTATTTGCACCGTGGTGAAATTGCCAAACAATACATTTCTCAGAATATATCCTTGTAATTAAGCTGTAGGTGACTGATTAGTCAGCTTTTGGTTACTCTAATAAAATGTCTCAGGCAATCTAGCTTTATAAAGAAAGCTGTATTTGGGCGTGTAATGGTTCACGTCTGTAAGTCCAGCACTTCTGAAGTGAGGCAGGAAGTTTAGGAATTCAAGATCATCTAGCCAAGACATTCTCATTCATTCTCTCTGTCTCTCTCTCTCTGTCTCTCTGTCTCTCTCTCTCTCTCTCTCTCTCTCTCTCTCTCTCTCTCTCTCTCTCTCTCTCTCTCTCTCTCTCTTCCTCTCTGTTTTTCAAGACAGGGTTTTTCTGAAGCTCTGATTATTCTGGAACTCACTCTGGCAGTAGATCAGACTGGCCTTGAACTCAGAAATCCACTTGCATCTGCCTCCCAAGTTCTGGGATTAAAGGTGTGTGCCACCACTACCTGGCTAGATTCTCCCTTAAAGGAAGAAAAAAGGGGCTTATTAGTTTTGAACCTTGAACTTTTTTATAGGTAGGATCTGCTTTTAGTAGTGGACTGGTTTCCTGTCTCAACCTTCCCAAGGCCACCATACCAGACTTTAAAAGTCCAACAGAATGGTGACTTGGGTGTAGAGTGGATGCTCTTGGCAAGAGAGACTCAGAAAGCTCAGTCAGCTTCCAGTTTCCAGAGAAGACATACACTCTAGGGCAGGATGTACCATGGAGCGCCACTTGGGGTAAAGTTCATCAACCCATCACTCTCTGGGAACCATGTTCTGAATACATGGATTCTTGAGGAAAACAAACAAACAAACAAAAAAAAACAGTATCTAAATCATATGTAAATGTGCTAATAAAGAATAAAACACAGTTGCATTTTCTTGGCTTACAATGTGCAAAATAAAAAATAGCTAGTTAGTTGCCAATGTGTAGACGCCAAAAGATGCATGCTACATTTCCCCTTGGCTGAAGGTGACTACAGAGTGAGCAGACTGTCTTGTTGACACAGCCCTCAGCAGTCTGTTGCCTTTAGCCAGTCCATGGCTTGTTTTGTTTTCTGACCCTCTCTTATGGTGTCTTTGTGTAAGAAAACTCTGGCCCGTTGGAAAGCTTTTCTCCATAGCTGGAATCCGAAGGATGGGTTTTAAACTTTTCTCAAAGTAAATTCAGGTGTACAGACAAACTGAGTTTCAGATTTCCTGTTTGGAAATCTCTGTGTCAGTTTGACCCATTCACTTCTGGGACCTTCTTCCTCTTTAGGGTCTACTTCCTAAGGGCTCAACAAAAGTAACCTTTTTTGCTTCCCTTTGTTTGGGGGCTTTAATGACCTTCGGCTCAAAGAACCTCTTTCTTTCTGAAAAGATGTATAGGAGAGATGTGTGCTTCCTCCTCGCGAGGTATTTGGGAAAACCATTTTAAAGGGAAAGGTGACATAACAGTGTTTCAGATCAAAGTTGTATGTATGTGTTTAGTTCACTTATCTTGACACGGGGGTGGTAGTTTCAGGGTATCCAGATAGACAGATTGCCTGTGTCCATATTTATGATGTTGGCTCTGGGAGTGGCTGTCAATATTGTTGATGAACCTGTGACTAATATTTAAGCAGGTTAGCCTATGTTTTCAAGATCGGCTGATGAAATCACCACTTTTCAACCTGGGGTGACCCAGGAAGTGACAGCTTTCCTTGTTCATTTACTGAGTGTTTATTAAACAGTGATTGAGGGTAGCTTTTTGCATGGTACCAGGGCACTTCTGAAGTACAAGACAGCCTACGACCAGAGCTGCCGGTTTAAGTCTATGGAACCACGGTAGACAGAGGACATAACATGTGCCCACTATGCTCCACTATAGGGCAGTTCTTTACCCATAGCATTGCCCTCTGAGAATGTAAATCATCTGCATCTCTTTTAAAAGTTTCACTTGATAAGAACAATGTTTGGGGGAAGATGTATGGGATGCCTTTGCTGTGGGCCAGTTAGAATGCTTTTCCCCATGTGTCAAGAAGACTTTGATTACTGTGCTGGTGACCTAGTCTAATCCTGCACTGCAGGCAGGCCTAGGATTCCATCCACATGTTGAATAGCAAATTCAGATGAGGGACAGGAAGTCAAGTTTCCTTATAGCTGCTGCCTTATGTGTACGTATACATGTTCTTGTCTGTGTGTGAGATGTGTGGGTGGGATATTGCGCGTGCTATTACTCTTCACCTTCTTTTCTGAGGCCAGGTCTCTTGCTGAACCTGGAGCTTACAGACTTAGCAAGGCTATCCAGCCAGCAAGCTCCAGGGATCCTCCTGTCTCTACCTCCCAAGAGCTAGGATTAGAGGTTTGAAGCCAGAATGCCTAGGTCTTTAACATGAGTTCTGGGGATCCCAAACTCTGGTCCTTTACTGCCCCAACCATCTCCCTAGATCTAGCATTCCATTCCATTTAGCAGAATATCAAAGTCTATCTAGCACTTGTGTAGAATTTTTTTTCCGCAAGGCCCCATAAATAGTAGCGGCAAATACGATGAAAATAGAATCACTGTGAGATGTTTGCTCTGTGCTAGTGTGTCACTTGAGGAAATCTACCTAGCTTCTTATTGTAACCACTGAATAAGGCTAATAGTCCCCAAGAAAATGATCACTAACTTGGACCTGAGACAGTGTTAATAGGAATTAAACTTTTGAGGACATAGAGTGGCCACTAGCTGCTCAGACCACCTACAGCCACGTCTATTCTTGCTTCTCCTCCGTCCCTGAAAGAAGTGGAGGGGGTTTGTCTCTTCTTATCCACCTCCCTCCCCGTGGTGTCCCACATCTGGCTTGCCTCTGGCTGACCTGCTTCCTCTCCAAAGTATCTTCCTTTCCGATTTCATACCACATATAATTCAGCACCTTTTTTTTTTTTTTAATCCCCAACAAGGGGAGGTTTTACCTCATAGAATTCTGAAAGGACACTCTTGGGCCACCCTAACTAGTGAGCCCTTTGTGTGTGGGGTGTGCCGTGAGGATAGCGTGTGACTGTCGTAATCTTCACGGCAACACTGAGAAGCTAGATAACTCACCCAGATCATCTCAGTTAAGCAAACTTTAGACCTGGAGTTCAAAGCCAGGGCCATCTGCTCCAGAGCCAAGTGTGGGAAAAGACTTCATGGGCTCAAGGGGGTTTTGCTCCATCCATAACCAGGCCTTTTGGACCCATGTTCTGTCAAGCATGTGCAGGATTCTTATTAGCTCCTCAATATTCTAATTCACTAACTTCTCTTGGCTGCCCTAACAATTTACCACAGATTTGGTGGTTTACAATGACAGACGGTTCTTCCATCAAAGTTCTTGAGATCAGTGGCTCTCAATCAAAGCACTGGCAACAATACAGGCCTTGGGAGATTACACGGCTTGCCTTTCCTGGTGCCTGTTTGCTGCCAGCATCCCATAGACCATGGTGCCCCGCTAAGATCTCTGCCTTCTTCTTCCAAAGGCTTAATCCTCTGGGCTCTTCACACCTTTCCTGGATGTGTCTGTCGTTGGAATTGGGATCCATCTAGATGACCTACAGCAATTGTTCAAGTTCACATCGGCAAAGATCTGCTTTCCAAATCAGACCGCACTCACAGGTTCTGAGAGCTAAGAAGAGCTCTCGTATTCAGGCCACCAATCACATAAGCTAATGGGTGCTTTCCTTAGCAGGGGCAAGTTCCTGTTCTTGTAGCACAGCTTCCTGGCAGTGCGTGTTCCTCCACACAGTTTCCTAACTACGGGTCTGAGAGTATTTCTTCACGTTGAATGTGAACCCAACAGCACATACCTCCTACGCTCCTCCCAACACAGTCTGTGGCATCTAACAGGGTTCTTTCTGTTTTCTTGCAGATTGCGGACCTGCAGCTGCACAAACTGGACGAACTGGACTGTTTGATTCAGGGCCTGCTTTACGTTGACTCGGTCGGCTTCAACGGCAAGCCGGAATGTTACTATTTTGAGAACCCCACAAATCCCGAGTTGTGTCAAAAGAAGCCATACTGCCTTGATAACCCATACCCCATGTTGCTGGTTAACATGGGCTCAGGTGTCAGCATTTTAGCAGTGTACTCCAAGGACAACTACAAAAGAGTTACTGGGACCAGGTAAACCTGCTCTCGGGTAGGAGAGCCTCTCTCTGCTTAAACTATGCCTATTTCCTGATGAGTAATATATCGTAAAAGATTTTTTTTACATCGAATATGTTTTTAAAAGAAATATGTTAGGCTCCTATACTAACAAAAAGGGAGTTTTATTGGGTATCTGTTTTAGTTTGTTTTTGGACACAAGATCTTAACTTGGAGTTAAGACTATCCTGGAGCTTCGTGTGTAAGCCCAGGCTAGTCTCAGACTCGAAATCCTGCCTCTGTCTCCTGAGTGCTGGGAATTTAGGCATGAGCCACTGTGGCCAGTTTATTGGATGAGGCATTAGAGGAGTAGAAGATGATTCATGTAAAAGTTAATATCAAGGTCTTTGTCTACTGGAGGTCATGCTCCAGTTGTAGAAGGAGGATGGCACACATTAGTTTGTCAGCCGGTAGGTGTAATAAATGCCACCAATAGGACCTCCAGGACTGCAAGCCCAGTAAGACAGGAGTAGGAGCTGGGATGGTCTGAGATGCTTCAGAGAAACTTCCTTTGGGGACCTTCTTGGTGTCAAGCCAGGAAAGATAGCTTGACATAGTATATCATCGCAACCAGCAAAGAGATGTACAAGGAATGGTTTCTCCTTCTTTTGCATAAGCGAGAAGTGACTAATCAGTGTAATTTATAGGAATTTTGGAATGTAGGGCCCAGGAACACAATCACAACCCAAGGTGACTGGAATCCTTGGAGGATTTTTTCTTCTTCTATGTACTCTAAGACCCACGAAGGGCAAACGGGCTTAGTTTCCAGTTACTGGAGAAATCAACATGGCAAAAGGCTCCGTTGTTAAGAGTCATTAAGAAAGCCCACTAAGAGCAAAATTAAGCTGACTTGGAATGAAGCACTGCTTCAGCTTGTTAGACCGCAAACCCCATCTTCTAAAGGAACTAAAAAGGATGAGTACCACATGGAGTATGCTTAGGATATGGTGTCGAAACCATTGTTCATGGCAGATGAATGTGGCACATTACTTGTCTGGGCCTCAGGGTCCTCATTTCTGCCCTGAAGGGTGTTGTAATTGCTTTTTTGGGAAGGAGACATTTCCAGGACTGAAAACTCTGCAGCACTCTTCTCTCTCTCTCTCTCTCTCTCTCTCTCTCTCTCTCTCTCTCTCTCTCTCTCTCTCTCTCTCTCTCTCTTNCTCTCTTCTCTCTCTCTCTCTCTCTCTCTCTCTCTCTCTCTCTCTCTCTCTCTCTCTCTCTCTCTCTCTCTCTCTGTGTGTGTACGTGTGGTGGAGCTGTGTGAATCGGTGTTCCCAAGAGAAGGTGATACAACTCAGTGTCTGAAGACATTTCTAGTTTTCCCAGTTGGAGGTGGGGCACTACACACATGTAGTGGATTGAAGTCAGGGATGCTGATGATAGAATTTTATAATGCAGAGGGCAGCTCCTCCAACAGCAAAAGGTATGTGGAGTCCCAAATATCAATAGTGCTACATTGAGAAACCCTGGGGCACACCCACGCTCTAACCGAAGTGGGCATGTGTTCAGAGTGTAGTATCTGTTATATCTGTAAACTGCTACCAGGCACACACGGTTCCTATTTTCTAATTTTCATTTTATTTATTATTAGTTACTATAATTATGTAGCCATGGCTGGCTTGGAATTCATTGTGTAAACCAGGGTGACCTTAAACTCCCAGAGATCCACCTGTCTCTTCCTCCTCAGTGCTGGGATTAAGATGTGCACTATAATTCCTGGCTCTGCATACATCTTTTCATTGAGAATATAGTATCTCCCTGGCTTGGCCAGGAATGAACACTGATCCCACGGTCCCCTTGGGACTATAGGAGTATCCAGATACGAACACCCAGCTAAACAGGTCTTCCCTTAGAGAGTGCTTTCCTGGTGAAGGTGTACGTTTTGCGACAACAGACTTCTTTCATGAGTAGTTGACTTGGTAAGGCTGCTCTCAAGGTAGCAACAGGCTATACATTCTCCATAGTTAGAAATCTTTTGGTTTTTCGAGACAGGGTTTCTCTGTGGCTTTGGAGCCTGTCCTGGAACTAGCTCTTGTAGATTAGGCTGATCTCGAACTCACAGAGATCCACCTGCCTCTGCCTCCCGAGTGCTGGGATTAAAGGCGTGTGCCACCATCGCCCGGCCATAGTTAGAAATCTTAGCACTTTTGTTGATGCATACACAATAGCTAGTGAATGCACTCTCCAATGTGCACACTTTAGGGATCCATATCATCTTGAGAAGCTGTGAAGGAGCTAATTGTGGGTGTGGCTTCTTCACAGATGGAGTAATGTCTATAAACCCCAGGGATTGAGGAATGCCCTTCATGATCCCCCTGCCTCCATCTCCCAAGTGCTGGCATTACGGGTGTGTGCCACCACCTCCAGCTCAGAAGTCTCTCTTGTTATATGTTAGAAAACGTCAGATATAAACACTTAGGATCAATGGTGAGAATTAGCATGTCTAACATACTTTGGGGACCATTGGTATTAATCAAGCTCTCTACCACTGAGCTACCTCAGTGGGGACCACTGATGTAAGCAAATGGTGTAAACGTTAAGTTTTGTTGCTTCTCTTATAAACCGAGAGTTTAACTCCAGATTTTTGTTACTGTTTTGTTTTTTATTTTTCTTATATAAGGCTTTCCTCTGTAAGCATTTTGCTATTGTTGCTTTGGTGGATTTCATTTTGATTTTGTTGTTTTCTCTGAGACAGTGTCTCACTATGCAGCCAAAACTGGCCTTGAGTTTTCCAAGTGCTGGGATCATAGGGTTCCATGCCTTTGTGTGGGTTTATGTGTTTGTATGTGTGTTTGTATGTGTGCATGCACACATGTGTGTGCTGGTACAAATACATGACAAGGTTTCTCAATGACCCTTGGAAGCTTGCCAGTTCTAGATGGCCAGATGTGCTGGCCAGTGAACATCTTAGATCCATCCTCCGTACTCACACCCCAGGCTTGGGGAGCCACCTCCCCAGCAGTCAGTGTAAGAATCATATCATTTCGTGATATCCATTTTCTTCTGCATGTTTTAGATGAGTGGCTTTTGTATACTTTCACGACTTTCGAGATTGGGCACAATCATTTTTCCCCTTAGTGACACAAGTCCAATTCTCAGTGTGAAAATTAGTACTTTACAGGCAATGTTACAGTGTATGGTCTGTTGTAAGAAGAAAGTAACTGTGGAACTTAACGTGGAAGGAGCAGTGCATCTCCCTGATGCTTCAGGAATCTACACGTGTGTCCATCCCCAGACATTGCTCCCAGGCTTACCAATTCAATTATTAAATGAGGAACTGAAGATTTCTTCTCACTCTGATGAATAATAGTATCCAGTGCCTTTTTCTATCTAGATATTTTGTCTCTGATATACTGAGTTTTTTTCCACATGTCTGTCAAAACAGACAGATGTATCTGCTCGTGAGCAAGAAAATTTCTTGACCAAATAAGAAGGTTGAGGGAAATGACAGGTGCTAGAGCCTCTCAGCTCTTCTGTGACCTTGTGTTCGTCTCTCACGCCAGCTGTACAGATGCATGCCTGCTTTCCCATCCAGCCTTCTATCTGGAATCACTACCATTTTCTGGCCATACCCCCTTTCCAGTTATACCAGCACATCTGTTGATGAGTTACCTTCTTTCTAAGTCAGCCAGTTTCTTGAGTTGCCTACACCCAGAGCTAGTGGTTGAATGCCTTGATCAAGGTGGATGCCTAATGTTCAAAGAAAGATTAGCAGGGACAAAACTGTCAAAGCTAAAAATGTGAGCAAACAACAAAATGTAGACGGCCCAGAACCCCGCAAGGGTCCTCGTTAAACGCATCTGTGTAGGGTTTGCTGTACAGATGAAGGTAGACTTTCTTTTTGTGTTTGTGCTTGTTTGTTCCCTTGGGATGCCACACCCACGACTTGGGTAGTTTGGTGGTGCACAGCGAGGCCTACACGACCCTTGAAAAAGAACTCTTGGGTTTCATTTTGTTTTTCTTAGAATCACAGTCTGAGACTATGACACTTTTTTTTTTAATCAAGGCAACACTAAAACACATAGTTTTTTTAGTCGGTCTATAATCTGGTGTCTTCTTGGTAGAAGTTATTGATGATCAATTTAATTTTGCCATACATTTGCTTCTTTAATCTCAACTTAATTTTCCCCCCTTAGAATTAAAAGCTGGTCATCAAATGCAAGTTTTTTTTTTTCCAGAATCAGTGGCTCTTGAAGCTTCAGAACCAATTGAGATGAGCAGCCAGCTCTTCTCTGTTTATCATCAGAGAGAGAAGCCTTTGCCAGCAGTTGAGAACTAAAGTTCCCTTTTCTGCCATGACTTCACTAATAGTAGTTATTTCCTTGAGTTGGGTGTCAAGACACCAGGAAGCTTTGATATGATATATAATTAATTTTATGCTCAGCTACTATAATTTGTTGCTAAGTTTGGCAACAAGGTCTATTTTGGTGCCATAACCTCTAAAACAATGGAAAACTTTGAAAACATACTTCAAGCATTTTGTGTCCTTTGTCACTCTTACTGGTAAGTGGTAATTAGAAAATCAGCAATACCCTTTTCCAAAGCCTAACAGTATTAGATAGATAGTAGTTTTACTCTCGAGATTTCTGAGGTAGGATGAGATGATTACTGTAGAGAAGCAGGGTCAGGGAAGACAGCCCTCAGGGAGCATGTTGGGACAGCCATCCTGGAGACTGGCTCTATAGTTGTGAACTATGTACACCATTTCTTTCCCTGTGTGTTTGCTTTTAGCTGCCTATGGTGCTCTAACACCAGCCATTTCTGGTTACATGCTGCTTTTAGACTACCCAAACTGGACACACCATGATGTGTTAGCCCTCTCATAGGCTAGTAGCTAGCTGAAGGTCTCACAACAGAAATCAGTGAGAGTCTTTTTCAATTTTATTCTCAAATTTAGGGGCGAGTTTTCCTTGATGTTCGATCTTAGCCGCTGCCCGCTTTCCTTATCCAGTCTACCCTCAAGTTCTGTTCTAACTCTAGCACTTTAATTTAGATGCCTCTCTGCTCTCCAGCAAAGTGCTCTTTCGCTTGTCCGCATTTTCCTGAACCAGTATGAATAGTCTTGATGTAGCTGGGGACTTGGATGGGCATGTCACGAAGCAAACATTAAAAAATCCAACCTTATTGTCCTTCAGTCTTGGAGGCGGGACATTCCTAGGCCTGTGTTGCTTGCTGACTGGTTGTGAGACCTTTGAAGAAGCTCTGGAGATGGCAGCTAAAGGCGACAGCACCAATGTTGATAAGCTGGTGAAGGACATTTACGGAGGAGACTATGAACGATTTGGCCTTCAAGGATCTGCTGTAGCATCAAGGTAGAGACGAAGTGGCTAGGAGCTGTAGAGAATCTACCACACAAGGCAGCCTCTCCACCCTGGCCATTCATCTAGTTTTCTCTTTAAAAAAAAAATAAATAAATGCCGGTGTACCAGCCTGGCGCAAATCTTGTCATGTCAGACTGCAGACCCGATCTCCTGTCCTTAACGAAGCACTGAGATAGTTACCACCTGTGCTTAAAATAAGGCAACTTTGAAAGAAGGTTCTGGAAAACTGCCAGTTTCCCCTGTTCCATGCTTGTCCGGATATCTAGACTCATTGCGAGTTTCTTCCCCATTTATAGTCATACTACTTTGTCCCTCGGTAAGAAGGGGGCAGCCAGCCATTCACAGTGCAATACTGTCTGCTTATAAACCGTGATAGCAAAGTCAGGTCATGTGAGTTTGGGCAGGATTATTCGTACTCCTTCCCAGAGTGCCTTGGTGGAAGCCTGGGTCCTGCCTGGGGATGACTTTGAATACTCTCCCTGATATCTCCAACATAGCTTTGGCAACATGATGAGTAAAGAAAAGAGAGAGTCTATCAGCAAGGAGGACCTCGCCCGCGCCACGCTGGTCACCATCACCAACAACATCGGCTCCATTGCTCGGATGTGTGCGCTGAACGAGGTAAGGCGTTGACCCCGAGGAAGCCGGGGACCATCTCATGCACTCTCTCTGGCAATGTGATAACTGTTGTCATACTACTTTGTCCGAGATTCTTCGGAAACTCACCTTAGAGAACAGGAGAGGGGTGTCGTGAGGGGGGAGAAGATAATAGACACCCCTGTGGAAGCGTATCCGAGTTCCAGTCCACGGTCCAGTCGTTCTAACTATTGATTGCCACGTGCCACTGAAGCGCAAGGCACACCCTAGGCCTGTGTAGGTTGTGTAGCTAATCCCACATAAAACACTCCCACCTGCCGCCCTTGAGATTCTCTCTGCTTTCAGCTTCTTTACAGTGTTGCCTTGTGGCATGGAGTTCAAGCAGCATTGTACAGGGCTATCAAAGCACAGAGAGCTTGCTACAGTCGAGGGCCCCAGGTGCAAGAAGCAGGTAGAGCTGAGGACAGACAAAGCTTTATTTACAAGTTTTGAAAAATTAAATTCTACCGAGAAAAAAAAAAAAAAGAGCAGAACCCCTGTATAAGAAACAAGATTTGAACAGTAGAACAGCCCTCTCCTTGAAGTGTATTAGGAAGACAAAAAAAAAAAAAAAAGAAGTCGGGCATGAAACAGGTAATAGGTGAAATATATAAGAGCCACAGCAGGTGTATAAAATAAATAAATCAATCTTTTCTAAAAAAAACAATGGAAGTGGGATAGGTCTGGAAAGATGACTCAGCGGTTAAGAGCACTGGCTGCTCTTCTAGAGGTCCTGGCATAAAGTCGAACATGCAGATAGAGCACTTGTATATATAAAATAAATAAATTTTAAAAAAAAGCAACACCAACAGCAGGTCAGTAGTGGGGTTTTGAAATATGGAAGTTTTAATAGAAACATGACATGTATGCAAAAGTCAGTTCAAAGTGCCTCATAACTGTCACACTCACGCACACACTGACACACTACCTAGATCAATAAATGAAACTTCACAGATACTTCCAAACCTTTTTGAGGGACTGGAGAGATGGCTCAGTGGCAAAGAGCACATGCTGCTATTGCAGAAGACTCGAATTTAGGTTCCAGCACTCGCCAGTGCCCGTAACTGCAACTCTAGGGCATCTGGAGAGACCCCACCATGATGAGCTACAGGAAGTGCTTGTTTGGTTGGTTGCTTGGTTGATTTTGTTTTCTTTTAATGCTGATTCCGGCTTTGAGACCCCTCCTTTCACAACACTGAGTAGAGTATATCACTGTCCCCTGGAGAGCAGTCAGCCTTTGCTGGAGGTCCCTGGTCCACACGGGCTTCGATGGGAGGCTGGTGATCAGGTCCCAGAGACATGCCTTATCAAAGTCCACCGCTGTGAAGAGATTCATTGGAAACAAGGGTTTCTCGAGCTTTAACCTTTTCAGCATGTTTTTCTAAGTAGCCAAACAAGCTGGAAGACTAATGTGTGGGTAGGCTGGCTGTGTTCACGGCTCTCAAAGGTCAGTTGCATAGTGGCCGCCTTTGCCCCACAGAGCAGCTGTGCCCTTTGCCCTGCTTTCCTGAGTTACCTTCTGCCCTGCAGTCTGCTCAAGTGAGCCAGGTCTTTTCACAGATATCACAATCCCTTTGGGAGAGGCCAGCCGCCTTTCTTTTCTCACATTAGAAAATGTGCACAAGTTATTTGCTGGCGTGAGCAGCTACTTTGGATGTTTCCTCTGCAGTTCAACGGATGGAGTGACTGACTCACTGCCCCCTGACACCAAGAGGCTGCTGAGCTCCTGGAGGCTCTCTGGACAGCTTGGGGATTAGCAGTGTCAGATTTCCCCGGGAGAGCAGAAGCCAAGGTCTTCAGCCTTGCCTTGCTCTCTGCAGTTGTAGCTGTGTGCATCTTTGGTTGTAGCTCTTTCCTATAGCGGGGCACCACATTTCCTGAATCTGAGCTGCTTTTCTGTTAGGGTAATGAAATGCTCTCCTTACAACTTCTTTTTTAAGTTTGAAAATTGATTTTATTGTTTTCAGTGATGTGTGCACGTCAGTGGTATACTTGCGAGGCGTATGTGTGCACGTCGGTGGTATACTTGTGAGTCATATGTGTGCACATCAGTGGTATACATGTGAGTCAGATGCCCCTATTGTTCAGAGGCGGTAGATCCCTGGGGCTAGGGTTATAGGCCATTGTGAGTTATCCGATGTGGGTGCTAGGGATCAAACTCAGGCATTCTGGAAGTGCACCACTTGCTAACCCTTACCCACTGAGCCATCTCTGTTGAAATAAGGAAGCGGCGGGGCTGCGTCCCCAACACCCCGGCCGCTTGGCTAGCTCATGCCCGAAATAACAACACACAAACTGTATTCATTTAAAGAACTGCTTGGCCCATGAACTCTAGCCCTTACAGGCTAATTCTCGCACCTGGACTAGCCCATTTCTAATAATGTGTGCTTACCGGGAAGAGTCTAGCCTACATCCATCCTGGGTTGGAGGAGCTTCATTGCGTGCATCTGCCTGGGATGGCATGGCGTCTCTGCTTCAGCAGAGCTGTCGGGTCTCTCCGGGAGCAGAGCAGAGTCTGACCTCACTTCCTCTTCCGCCCAGAATTCTATTCTGTTTACTCCTCCCATCTATGTTCCAAGCCATGAGGCCAAGCAGCTGGTTTATTATAACTTAACCAATGAAATCAACAGATTGATATATGACACTCCCACATCACATCTCTCCAGCCCCCTCCCAACTTTAAGCTTTATTTACATTTTTATTAGCATATATCCATTCGTAATGACTTTTCATACATATGCACAGTATGTTTTGGTTGTATTTGCCTCTCTTCCTCTTTCTTGTCCCCTCTCCCACTGGCACTGATACCCTTCCTCTTCCCAAGCGACCCCTAGCCTCCCTTTCTACTCCCCACTCCTTCTCTCACCAGTGATTTCCATTAGGGTTTTTTTTTTTTAAAACAGGAGCATTGGTGAAGGTGTGTTTATAAGAGCAATAAAGGCGATATTGGTCCATCCTCTGTATTGTTGGAGCCTTAGAGAGAGAATTATAGATGCCTCTCTTGTGGCTGCATACTCAGCAGTATTTATCCTCAGCACTCTGACCAGTTATGAGCATATGCCAAAAAAGCTCCTCTGACTAAAGCTGATGTCAACACTGACCCATGGGTGCAGATAGCTCTTTAGGAGATAATTTGATAGGTACATCACGTCCTTTTAGCAAGAACAATAGCTTCCCAACTAGGGCCTGTTGACCTCCCCAGGCGCAGGTTGTGATTGGGAGTGTGGTACCAGATGTGAACTTGCTCCTCTGTTCCACTCTGAAAGCAGTAGGTCGCCCCCACGATGGGCTCACGAGGCTGTACCTGTGGGCATATCTTGCTTGGGTCCACCCCTGCTAGCTAAGGCTGCTGATGTCATTCCTCTCCTGGCAGCCTGCGTTGCACCTTTTATTTAGTTTCCAACAGGTAATGCAGAGTCCCAAAGAAAGGCAGTCAGGGAAGCAAGTCCATTTCTACACTCACCTTCCCTTGAACCTCACTGGGGAGGTTTTCAGCTTTGGGTTGTCTTTCTTCTATGTTTTATACGGTATGAGATAAATATGACTTTCAAAGGTATCAACTTCTAAAGAACAGTCTCACTTTTTTAAAAAATGTATTTGTATGTGTATGAGTGAGTGTCTAGCCTGCATTTGTTTCTGTGCACTACTTGTTCCCACTGAGGCTAGAAGTGGGCATTGGATACCCTAGGTCCGGAGTTACAGACAGCTGTGAACTGACGTGTGGGTCTTGGGAATTGAACCCAGATCTTCTGGAGAATCAGCTGAGGAATCGTCAGAAACTCTACAGTCCACCCTCGACACACTATTCTGCATCCTGCTTTGTTGGTTTGGGTTTTTACTGTGAAAGTTTCTAGGCATGTATGAAGGATCGAGAATAAAGGACTCCCGCATGTCCTTTATACTGAGCAGTTTCCAAGATTTTGCCACATATGCCTCGTCTGTCTCTTTTCTTGTTTCTCCTTCTTTTTTCTATTTGTTTATTATGTATACAGTGCTCTGCCTGCATGTATCCCTGCAGGCCAGAAGAGGACACCAAATCTCATTACAGATGGTTGTGAACCACCATGTGGTTGCTGGGAATTGAACTCAGGACCTTTGGAAGAGCAGGCAGAGCTCTTAACCACTGAGCCATCTCTCTAGCCCCATGTTTCTCCTTCTTCTACTCCTCTTTTTAGCTTAAACATCAGAAATTTAATTCCGCCATTATCAGTCTACACAAATGCATCTCTGAATTATGCCTCTCACTGTTTTTACATAGAATGTCTTGAGATTGCTATATTTATATTTCATCACTTGTAATAGCTGTCTATCACTCTACATGCTATTAAAGATTTGGTCACTATCCTAGAAATACTTAGGGTATTTTTTTAGCCTTTTGCTTTATCAAAAATCCTGCAGTATATACATATATATGTTATATATATATATATGTATTATTCACATGCTTGCTTATACAACATAAAATTTTGTATAAATATCAGTATATCTGTAAGATAAATTTTTGTTGGGCGTGGGAGACCACACCTTTAATACCAGAATTCAAGAGGCAGAAAGAAACGAGATCTTTGTGAGTTTGAGACCAGCCAGGTCTTCATAGTAAGACCTGTCTCAAACAAAGTAAATTAATTAAAATTAATTAATCAATTAAATTAAAAAGATAAATTTCTGAATCAATGGGTATGTTGATTATAATTTTGACAGACATTATAAAACTCCTTCCATAAGCATAGTTCTAATTGATATAAATTTCTAAGAGGACTGTTAACCTTTTTAAAAAAATTTTAATCTAATAGAAAAGAAATTGTAACTTAATGTAAGTGGTTATGTAATATATGAATATATGTAAATATTTGTATATTTAATCATTATTGTGTTTTCCCCTTTTTAAAGTTTCATAAATTACATGTATGTGTGTGTTTCAGTGTGTGTCTATGTGTAGGGGTGCAAGCATACTCTGGTCCATGTTAGGACAACTCATGACATTTAATTCAGGTGATCAGGCTTTAACATCAAGCACCTTTACCCACTGAGCCATCTTGCTAGCCCAGTAATTCTTTTGTGCACATGTGAATAGTTTATGAATAGACTATTCACCCATTGTGTATTGGATAGTTGGTCCTGCTTTCTTGTTGGTTTTCAGGAACTCTATTAATTAACAAATCATTTCATTTGATATGTACTGAAGATAACTTTTCAAGCAAACAAATCAATTTTACTGGACTCTTAGTCTTCTCAATTATGTGTGTGTTTGCATCTGTCCGTGTAGATATGTGCGCATGAGTGCAGGTGGTTGCAGAGGTCAGAACCATTGGATGCCCTAGAGCTGGAGTTAGGGATTGCCTTGTGTATGTACTAGGAACCAAAATCCAGTCCTTTGCAAGAGCAGCATGCACCCTTACCTGCTGGGCTCTCTCTAACCTTACGTTGCTCTTAAGAAAAGTCCGCTTATATTTTTCTTAGTCACCTCTCATTTTCCTTCTTTGTCAAACACTTGTAATTTTGACCCACCTGGCCTTTATTTGAAATATGAAATGCTTGTCAGAATTTAGTACTGACTTTACTCCATCTGTCTTCCGTAGGGTGATAAAAGAATTCTAATTTAGTTAAATTCCTCTTTGATGTGTTCTTTCTTCATCTTGAGTGTTTGTAGTCTGGTTAGGTTTTGGCTCCAGACTTCATTTCTAACGGAAAGATACTGAAAGTACCTCTGAGTCCTTTACCCATGGAATATTTCCAGTGACTAATGTCTTCATGAACATACACTGTTAAAACTCGAGGCATTTCAAAGATGATGCTCCTGGACCTTAATCACTCCTGGTAGACAGAGCAGAAAATACCTGTCCAAGCCTTTCGTGCCTTTGATCTGAGTGACCATGACAACTGGCCTTGGTCCAGCATCTGCATGGTAGGCAAGCCGAGCTCAGTCTTTAGCTTCAGAAATACCTCCGGGAAGACGGGAAGAGCTACAGGCATGGGAGTCTTGGGAGATCTGAAGCCTGTCTGCATGCACAGAATGAGAGGAGTGTTTATCAAGAGTGGGTTCAGAATGAAAGCCTACATCCATGCTGTGTCTTTTTGTTACCGTATTTTAACCCTTCTGTTGCTCAAACAAGATATTCTACTCTTGAGGGCTGAGATGGATATTGTTTCTTTATAATATCCCAAACTTAGGAGATGAACAAACCGCACTGCAGCCATTCTTTTCATTTGTAAGTTAACTGAATTAGTATTTTATACTTGGAGTTTGGGGATGGGGGCACTGAGGGACAAATTTAACTTCAATGCCATGTTGTAAACTGAAGATGTATCCCACCTAGTGCAGCCTAGCATAGTAACTATAAAACAATAACAAACTACATGTTCATTATCATTATCATCTCTGCTCTATGCCCATGCCCTAGTTTGCGCTCTGTTGCTGTGATAAAGTTCATGTGGTGGCAATTTGGGGTGGGAAGGATTTCCTGGGCCTTCATTTCCTAATCAAACTCCATCATTAAGGGAAACCAAGTAAGGAACACAGGCAGAGCAAGAACCTGGAGATGAGGCCTGAAGCCGAGACCGAAGAAGAATACTGCTTACTAATGCTGACATGCTCAGCCTAATACAAGCCATATATGACACCACCCATAATGAGCTGGACCATCAGTCATGAAAATGCCCCCCCCCCCGGCTTGCCTACAGGCCAGTCTGATGGAGGCATCTCGGTTGAGGTTCCTCTTCCCAGCTGATTCTAGTTTGTGTCACGTTAACCAAAAAGCCAGCATAGCCCAACCAGAATCTGACCCTTCTGTTCTGTGGGGTGCTCTGTTGGTTTAACTTTGACTTGGGAGATGCTGAAATAGTTCAATCCATGCATTGACTGAGAGGGCTCATAGACAACCACGCACAGAACATTGAGTCCTTACTAAATGCTGTCTGAAGCCATGGTTTAATTGTTTTCGTGTGTTTTTTTTTTCTTCCAGAATATTGACAAAGTTGTATTTGTTGGGAACTTTCTCAGAATCAATATGGTCTCGATGAAGCTGCTAGCATATGCCATGGACTTTTGGTCTAAGGGGCAACTGAAAGCACTGTTTTTGGAACATGAGGTAGGTCAGGCTCACGGGGACTTCCTTGTCATACGTGTATTTTGAGTTGCCTTAACAATATGAGTCAAATCTGTGTATTTCAAAATGGATCAAGTAGGAAATAGCCTTTTAAACTTTGTGTTTTTTACTTTCCCCACCCAAAAAAAAAAAAGTTGTTTATACAGTGGAAGCTTTCTTAGCCAACAGTGGAGATTTGAAGACGGTTCCTGAAATGAAAACAAAATGTCATTTGGAAATGTGAATGATGGGTTATTTTAACTATCGTGGGAAACAGTGTGGATAATTCCTTAGAGAACTAAAAGTAGAGTTAATTGATCCAGCAGTCACACTGCTGTGTAGTATTCCAACACATGTGAAGTCCGTATATTGAAGAGACGGCCCCGTGATTGACGATGAGATGATTTAACACGTGGAAAGTGCTCGGAATAATTTCTAACTCGTGAGAAGGGCTCGGCAGCTGCAATAAAGTTCCTGGCCTATCCGTGCCATCTCTAAGGGAACTGCTGATCCAGGCGAATGAGGAGCTGCGTCTCCAGCCCTCTGGAGACTAGGTAGCTGGTGGACTCAGTATTTGTAAGTCCTGGTTTCCACGCCACTCCTTCACACACTGAAATCCTAACCCCCAAGATGACGGTGTTGGAAGGTGAGGGCTTGGGGAAGTGTTAGGATCAGAGAGCTGGAGAGATGGCTCAGAGGTTAAGAGCACTGATTGTTCTTCCAGAAGTCCTGAGTTCAATTCCCAGCAACCACATGGTGGCTCACAGCCATTTGTAATGAGATCTGGTGCCCTCTTCTGGCCAACAAGCATACAGACAGAACACTGTAAACATAATAAATAAATATTTAAAAAAAAAAAGAAAAGGAATTAGCATCTTTATAAAAGAGTCCCATCCCCACCCACTGCAATGCCAGTTTGCAGTGACACAGCAGTCTGCAAGGAGCCTGGCTTTGACAAACACCTTGATTTTGGACTGCCCCGCCTCCAGAAAGCTAGGAAATGAAGTTATGTTGTTTATAAGCTGCCTAGTCTTTGGTATTTTGTTGCATTTAGTAGTTCAAATGACTAAAACACTATTTCCTAAAGCAACTGAGTTTCGGAAACCTTCATTTTCATAGAAATATGAGCTTCTATTTTACGGGGAGGCCTTGACATCTTATGCTAGATATAGCCCTAAGCACTTTCCGATATTAATATAGATAAATATGCATTCAGATAAATTATAGTTATTTGATCACTCAATCCCTTTTGCAAAGAGATCAGCATTTGTTTTGTGTTGCAGGTCAACTGCATAGCCTCGATCATGCTAAATCCGGGTCCTGTTTCTAACCCATATCCCCACCTATGAATTCTGCTTTTAATATGATGCACCTGTAAAGTTAACGGCAGCATTCTTAGAATTGGTGACAGCAGTAGTCCTCGGCTAAAGCTCAGAAACAATCCTACAGAAGTTCTCCACTGTTTTCTAGGGTTATTTTGGAGCAGTTGGGGCCCTGTTGGAACTGTTCAAAATGACGGATGCGCAGTAGATGAAGCGGCCTCCGGTGAGGACAGAGGACTGACAGACACTGCCAGAGAAGGTGACGTCTTCTTGGGACAGAAGCCAAGCCACTGTGGTGGATGAACCTGCTGTATTTGTAAATAACTGAAAATTTTTTGCTCTTAGGTTTCAAGCTTATGATACAAAAATGGGGAATATAATAATTTTTTTCCGTATACTGTATTTTTTAAAAAAAAAAAATTGTGCAGCGTGGCCAAAGTTACCAATTTCATGCATTAACTTTGAAAAGTTGTGTGATGCTTAAGAGGGGCCTGAACTGAAAGCGCTGTCCATTTTTCTTCTGGGGTTTACTGATCAGTGTGGTAATTTTAACTTCGTTTAGTAATTACTCTAGGAGAGTCTACCTTTACTTATATTTTTTCATGACGTTTCATGATTTGCTCTTGGTTTCAAATGAAACTACGAATCTGGCATGTTGCACTGTGAACACTTTGTTTGTTTACTCTCTCGCTCTCTTTTTATTCTTTCTGTTTCAGTGTCTTAGGACAAAAAGAAGTCCTTCCGTTTTTTTTTTTTTTTTTTTTTTTTTTTTTGTCCCCTGTGATCTCCCTCTTATCGATACGCTTTCCTTGTTGTAATTGCTCGTGTCAATCAAGGTGCTGACCAACTCAACACAAAGTTAGACACATAATCTAAAGTTCTAAAACTGTGACCACAGTGAGAAGACTTTAAAGGGAAGGGTGGATGAAAGTGGCAGACACTGAACATGACATGCAATTTCATCTTTGTCTCCTTACCCCTCATAACTATAACGTTTCGTTGGATTTACTCTACACTAAGTTGAAGTAGTCTGTCATCAGACATCCTCATTCACGGATGGCGTATGAATGGCACCAGTTTGGAGGGGCTCCCATAGCTCATCTGGTCACGCTAGATTTAGGGAGGTTGTGAGTTGGGGTGTCAGAAATGAGTGTTTGGTTCGTGTTTTTACCTAGGAGCCCTGTAACAAGAAGACAGCATGAGGAATAATGTTAAAGGTTTTTTTTTTAATTTTTGTTTTAGTATTTAAACCGAGATTTGTACTTTATTTCATTTCTAAAATTTAAATATAATTTATGATACTCACATATGCAGACATTTCCTTCTGAAAGATTTTTCATTAAGATAGATGGGGGGGGGTCACTTTCAAATGAGGGTGTTGTACACACAGTATCACACAAGATCTGACTGTCTTCTGGATTGAGGGTACCCTTGCAAGGGCTTTTGAAAGGCAATGCAGTTACTCCTTGGCCAGTCTTCACCTTTCTACCTTATGAAGCGCCACCTTTCATTTCCGTATCCTCGAGTCTTGAAGAAGTTGATGCTAATGGAAGAATGCACTTGTCTGGTTTAAATAAAGCCCGTTTCTGTTGGGATGTTTTTAGTGTATATGTTATTTTCATTTCTTATACCTCGTCTTTATATTTATCTGCTGTATATGTAAAGTAACTATATGTTGTTGTTGTTGTTGTTGTTGTTGCTGCTGCTGCTGCTGTTTTCTTTCTGCTGCATAGCTCATACCATGAGGCTTTCCCACAAGTGTGGTACGGTCCAGACTGGGTCTTCAGCTGTAGCCCTAGGCCTGTGTAGGGGTTGCTTAATATTTAGCTTCATTGCTCTTAGATTATTGACCGCTGAATGCCAAAGTACCACTGTGCTATTTGGTGATGCTGAGCCACTTTCAGGTTCATCTCACTGCATCTACACTATGTCAGCTTCTACTTAGCTGTCAAGCAGTCAACTACAGTGTTCTTGAAAAAGACGCCGTCCCCGTATTATCTATCCTAGTGCCTTTTGATGGTCTCCCCTCCCTTCTTTAGTCTTTCAGAGGACAGCAGACCTGAGACCTGAAGGTCATGGTTCTGCCAAGGAAACCAGAGCAAGTAACTGTGCCTATATATTTTATTAATTCTCTGAAATCACTTGATCTCTTATTACAAACATCCAAAACTTAGGAGCTGAGCGTGGTTGTACACATTTGTAATCCCAGCTTACAGGAGGCTAAGGCGAGAGGATCAGTGTGAATTCAAGACCAGCCTGGGCTACATAGAGTTCCAGAATGCTCTGCATAACCCCACCACTACCATTGGTATAGACAAATAAGTAAATTTTCCATTAAATTACCAACTAAGTGTTGGCTACATAGAGCTAGTCTGTTTTTTACAAGGGAGGGACTTGTGTCCTCAGGATTTTTCACATTTTCTTGAATTGCAGAGCTCTCCTTAGATTCGCCATCACAAAGAAACCTGGTAAGAATTAAGGGGGGGGGGGATTAAAAAAAAGCCTGTGTCATGTGACATGAGGATGGTGAGATCGGCCAGCACGTGGCTTCGTGTCTTGGCCTAGTGAGATAGCTTTGGTTTGGATGCTGCTTAGCCTGTTACTAACTGTGAAAGCAAGTGGCTCAAATCCTCTCTAAGCCAAGTTTGCTCATCTGTAAAATAAAGCAAATAGTTTTACATTCATATTTTAATGCACACATTAAAATGGCATCCATATTTTTAAAGATGTTTTAAATCAACACAATAAATAAGTCATCCCCAGCTTTCTCGGTTGTGATGAATGAGGCACTTAGCATGGAGACTCTTCACAGGACTCCATGACAGAACGTGACCATGATTCCAAATCCCCATGCTCTTAAAGTTTGCCATGGTGATCGACGTGGCAGCCTCAGCTGACTTGAGCGTTGTTTATCACGATAATGGGACTTCTCAGATAACTCTGTAGCAGAACTGTGAATGTATATGATTTCAAGGCACTTTTTAAGGATGGTAAGTGAGAATGATGAATTTTAAAGTATGTACAGTCTTAAGAATTTCTGATAAGCATCAATGGAAATATAATTGTATTCCTGGGCTTTTGCAGTACATGGATTCAGAAACCCTTTCTTAGGAACTGTAAGCGGGTAATTACAATTGATGTCACTCAGTCATATGAGGAGTATCACGGTATTTCAGCTTACTTTAAAGAACTAGGAAGGAGTTGGAAACGAAGACGAAGAGTATACATCCCTGCTGTCCAGCAGAGAAAGCAGAAAGTGCAAGGCAAAGTGTGTAACGAGACACAGAGACATTCACTCATCATTGTCCACAAAGATAGTAATAAGTAAAATGAAGTCCCATGCTCACAAACCTTATATTCTAGAAGGAAAAAAAAATAGATACATTATATAATACATAAGAAATATATAGTATCATATCACATCACTACTAGAAGGATAAAGTAGGCTAAGGCTTATATTCCTTCTATTGAGCAGAGTAGTTCTTTTAGGGAAACTAGAAGGGGAGGAGTCGCTTCCATCGGGGTGATCAAAGATAATCTCTCACTGGCGATGACCTCTGGACAGAGACTTGAGTGAAATCAGAAGCAGACTGAGTAGCTGGGGGCATATTTTTTTTCTACTCATGGCAAATGGCGTGGGAGTTCAGGGGCTCTGTAAAAGGCTTTATTATAAGGCGTAAAACAGCAAGAGGGGTGGGAAACGAAGCTTTAGGAGCAGCCTCAGGCCAAGTCCTACTGGGAGTTGGACTTGTGAGAGAGCAGAGAGCTGGAAGGGGAGATGGGGCGGGAGGTTTCTCCTTTGTAAGGATGCTTGGGAAGGTTTTGTGGAATCTTAACCAAGTGTGGATTAGGAGAGGAGGGTGTCTAAGCTAAGCCATGAAGGAAGAAATAGCCTGCTCGCCTTCTTTGGAGTAGAACCTATTTGCTAGAACCTGGTTCACAAATGAGAAACTGGGTCCTGGGAGAGAGGCAATGAGCTACATATGCTAGGGGAGGGGGCTTTTAATCCCATGCTAAAAGTTTTAGATTTCTCCACAGTCAGCATGGAGCCATTGAAGCATTCCAAATAAAGGGAAGCTATAAGTAACCTGACTTCAAAGTAAGAGATCAAATTGTCCCCTGGAGGGAAATCTATTAAAACAGTTACCGCATAAATACATCACACCGTTCCATTTTCTGGCTCGTTGTTCCTAATGTGCCAGGCTCAAGCACTACCTGCGCAGCGGACCATGTTTGCTCTGCAGCTACCGAGGGCTACGCTACCGTGACTCTAGTCAATAAGAATGTTCGGGCACCAAGGTTCACCCGAAGCTCTTATCACTTGCAAGAGTTGTTCTATGGAAATACATTTTTCTCCCAGTGATCAGAAGATGATCCTAAGTTTCTGAGGAAGACTTGTATAAGGTACCTTGTTTACTGGCCCTGTTGGGTGCTCGTTCATTCACTCTCCGTCATTTCAGTTTTGACTGAAAACTCACAACACAGGAGGCAATGAACAACATCCGAGATGCCCTCAGCTACAAATGAGACTGCGGACCCCGGCTTCCTTGGGCTTGCATTCTGGGTGGGGGATAGGCATTGTGTGTGGAAGCCGGTACATAGGAAGCCTTCAGTGCTCGGAAGAGAGGGAAAATGATGGGCAAGGGGAAGGACTTCCTTGGTCAGATGTTCTTGGTGTGCAGGTATATAATTCAATCATGGTGTCAGCCTTTGGGAATGGCATGCTCACCTTGCTTCCCGTTTTTAGACTGATCATTTCACGAGACAGATTGATTTGAATTGTTCACGTGAATCATTATTGTCGACAACTTACCATCAGAATCGCATTATCGTTTCCAGTGTATAACTTCAGCCCTTTGTGAATTTATATATGATATATTGATCTTTTCTTCCTCAGCCAACCCACAATCACTGTCTCTCATAATGAACTCAGTGACTGCAGTTTCTGAAAGGTACCTACCAGGGCTACGGTGTGACCATTTATATAGAGCCCTTTCAAGTCAGATTCATCAGCTGCAATATAAAAATAAATGTTGCGTTTTAAAAGTCTTTGACTCTTTCTTTACTCACTGTTCACAGATTAACACAGAATCTTCTGATAGAATTAGCTGACACAGCTCAGTGTTTTCACCACACGGTTTTCAACCAGTTGCCAAGAAGTCATCTTTTTTTTTAAAGTATTTTCAAGAAAAAAAAATGTGTCGTATGTGCATGTGGTTTCATGTCAAGATGTTTTCCTCCATGGGAGTGAAGAATATACAAAGGGAAACCCTCAAAAAGTCCATAGGTACAGACCCAGCAGCCACACTAGTAATGTCTGCCCCCCTCTGCCATGTGCTTATGACTGACAACTACAGGCTGTAGTTGTGGTAGACAGTGATCCTGACCTGTCAAGTCAGTCACCTGATCTGAAACATCTACTTTTTAGTTAGTTCAGGGCCATACACCATGGTAAGGTACCACCCACAGTTAAGAGGTAGATTGAAGAAGGACGCCTAAGAGAAATCCCACACTAGCTCAGAACTGAGAACAATAAATGGTTATTTATTTAGGGGTAGACTCATAAATCAATATCCTCTGCTGGAATGGAGAACAGCAGCTGAATCCTGCAGCTGGAAAAGATGCCGGACGCATGCTTTAGCTCAGCATAATAGTAGAAGAGTCCACGACCCAGTGGGCGGGTAACTTAAAGGCTGTAGGATTTCCTACAGCTGTAGATTTCCCCTTTTGCTAAAATAATCCACAATTTCTCCCAGGAATGCCCCAAGGATGTCGTCTAGGTGATTTTGGATTTAGTCATGTTCACAGTGTTAACCATTATAGCATCAGGGTATTGTTGCTGACCTAGGTGACCAGAGACTGGTAACACAGCCACTCCTTAAAGCCAAAAAGAAAGGATTTCTGGCCAGTGGCACTTGCCCAATCATGCAGCCCCGAGCCTCACAGCCCTTTGTCCTTTATGCATAAAAACCACATCCTGCTTGTCACACTTCAGTTAGCAATAAGCCAGAACGACAGAAGCCAAAAAGCAAGGTCACTACATTTTCTGGAACTATGGACCAGGTCTTTTGATGGCTTAGGTCTTTGTTCCCATGTTGGCAGGTGTTGGAAACCATGTGCTGGGTTTTAAGGTCAGGACGGTGCCTCTAACATGGGCTCAGTTGTACTAAGGTCTGGGGCTTTATTACATAACCATACTTGGAGACTATATTAGTGTGGTGAAGTGGATTAAAAGGGGAGAACATTTCCCCTCTGACTCTCCATGGTCAGCTAGATTCCAGAATATTCAAAATATTCTGTAACTGTAGGGAATTGGCCATGGAGATTCCATAGGGTGGAGAGAAACACAGCTCTAGTCCTAGTCAAGTTGACATAATCCTTCACACTACAGGTCTTTGTCTCTGTTTCTATGACTCAGTTCATCCTGTGTAACTTTAAAAAAAAAAAAAAAGATTACAAGACCTTCCCAGAAACAAGAAGAAAAATAGAAGTCTGATGATACAAACACTGCAACCAGATGCTGATGTAACCGAGTTTGGAATTAACAGCCAATGAGTGATTCCACACATGCTATATATCCTGATTACAATTTCTC